TGAACTATTGTACGGACCCCTGAGTTGGTCCCTAAACTATTGTACGGACTCCCAAGTTAGTCCCTAAAATATTGTACGGATGCCCAATTTGGTCCCTATTGTTTACCAATTTAACCCCAACTTGGTCCTTTTGTTAAATAATAGCTCAGGGACCAAATTGGGGCGAAATTATAAACAATAAGGACCAAATTAAGGGTCCGTACAATAGTTCAAGGACCAACTTAGGCCAAATTATAAACAGTGGGGACCAAATTGGGGATCCGTTTAATAGTTTAAGGACCAAATCAGGGATTTCTTTAGTTCAGGGACCAAATCAGGGGTCCGTACAATAGTTCAGGGACCAAAATGGGGATTTAACCTATACTAAAACAAGAACTAGCAGAATATGCTGGATTTGGGCAAGAGCAGTATACAGAATTTGAGCAAGAGCAAGGATCAGAACAAGAATGGTTTTCAAGAACAATTCAAAATAGATTCCCGGAACAACGCAAGAATTAATTTCAGACAAGTATCAAGATAATGAGGATTTCAATAATCATTATCCATTTCCTTTGGATTTCAATTTCAGGAACAAGTACAAAGCAATCTCAAGAAAGATTCAAGATGGATTTCAAGAGTTTCAAGCAGTTTCCAAGTATCAAGAATGTAAAGATTGGCAACAATAGAGAGTTTAACTTTATGACAACTTGCTAATCTTCACAAAAATACGACAATTTCAATTGAATTGATCACTGTTTTTGAGTAACCAATATAGAAAAATGAGCCACATGAAAAGATCATGAAGCTCTAAATGGAAAAAATGAAGTTTCACTATAAGACTTTTAAAAGATAATGAGCAACGGAATTACCAAGTTATCCAGCTCCTAAAACGCATATAGAAAACACACAACATTTGTTAAATGACCTTGAATCTCTTACAAAGTAGGGGGTTGCCCATCTTCCACTGGTCGTGACAAACAGAGCAAATTTCTCAACCAGCTATGCTGTAGAGACCAACAAGATCAATAACAAAAGATCTCTACAACTTCCCAGATTTTTACAATTGTGGCAAAAAAGCATACAAAAATTCTATTCGAGTAACAAATCTAAACAAGTGCAGACTATCAGAAAATGACCAAGTTTCAAAACAAGGTCTTAAGAACATGGCGGGCAAGATTAATTCCAAAACCCTCATCAAAGGCAGATAACAGGGACTAACTAAATTACCATCTCATCAAAATGGATTAGAAAATTCAGACAACATGAATCAGAATCGTCCCTTATATAACCCCATCACTTGTCTCACCACGGTTCTAAAATCCACTGGCTAGCCAAGTCCAAAACAAATCCTAGGTGTTCAATTAAACCTAGGTATTTAATTAAATCTAAGTTCTGATACCACTCAATCTGGAGGTGCTTAATTTAATCTTAAACTCTTAATTTAAATCTAAGCTCTAATACCACAAAATCTGTCACGCCCCAAAACCCGAATTCGAGGCGCAACAGACGTCGTGCACTTGTGAGAGGGTCCCACAAATGCACAAGACTCGAAACTTATCATACCACAATTTGATACCATCAAAATCTGAAGATCAAATTTTATAATTTGCTCTAATATCATAAATCTCCAATAAATGTCTAGTTTACAAGATCATGATTTATCTCTAAAATTTCATATCCAATTACAATGGCTAGCCTTCTAACTCGTCACTTCCCATGGTTTCCTCGTCCTCGGTTTCGCTTCCTGAAATGGTGGACAAGGAAAACTATGAGATAAACTCAGTAAATAAAATATGGAGTGCCCCTTATTAAACTTATAGCATGCCAACAAGTATAATCAGAAAAACGGATACAGGTACAGGAACGAAATAGACGTCTCCTCAATAGGTCACGGCCAGTGTTATAAACCTCCCACTAGTAAGCTATAGAAATTACTAGTGTAAAATCCCACTAGTAGGATTACAGAAATACCAGTGTTCAACAACTCCCACTGGCAGGAGGAACCGGCTCTACAGAAATACATGTCGACATGTGCTAGCATTTAACCCCCCACCAACAGGGTTATCAATAACATAACCATATTGGAGACAAAACAACCAGAAGTTAACAGAAAATCATAATTCACCAATCACTTTCAAATCATCAAGACAATCAATTAAATTTCAAGTAGGCATGCTCAATTTAATAAAAAGCATAAAATTTCACTTCAAATCAGTTATATGTACTTTTGCATAAAACGGATTTAGTCCAGCCACCACTTCAAAAACAAATCAAAACATGCTTTTAAAAACTGTACGGGCATTACCATAAATTTACTTACCTCAAATTGCATAAAACCGAGCACTCAATTCACGTACTAAAGTACTCCAAGGATCAAGAACCTAATCAAATATCCAAGAATTAATTCCGCACTACCACAAATTCAAACTGAAATCATCATTAGGACTACCCCTAATCACGATGCTAATTCCTATCAATCTCCACATGATCAGATATCTCCAAATTTGTTCTTATATCACAAACTAATCATTTAAATCCCCATTAATTGTTGACCCT